AAATTCTATAAAAAAAATTACCTGTTTTACACAAATTTAATAATAATTACTCATTAATACGCCAACAGTGAATTTATTATGGCCATAAACTTGTATAAATATAAACAAAGTAATGAGTTAGCTAACGCTTATATATACATATGTGTGTGTGTGTGTGTGTGTAGATATGTCCAGCGATAACACAAGAAAAACTAAAAAATATTTATGAAATGTAAATAACAGCGCTCCAGCGCGCGCTTACACACACACATGTGAATAAGCAATCAAAACCAATTCACACACACACACACACCTGCGTCCACGAAAGCAATCGAAACGCTCCACTCCAAGCGCTGATGTCATCGCTACAAGCACTGCAGCGCATTTCTGCTGGCTTTGCCGCCCGCAACTTGCTCGTCAACACACACCCGCGCGCCGTCGCTCCCCTCTTAAACACTTTACGGCTGCCTTGTTTGTTGTTGATTTTTATTTTGCGCAGATTAGTAACAATATTTTTTAAAATACATTTTTTTTTCTATCTAATTTTTTTTTTAAATTTATTTCTTTAATTTTTTATTTCATTTTTTTTTACTGTTTGTTGTGTTGACGCCGAGCTGCGCAACTAGATTTTTATAGCAAAACTTCTTGGGCAGTTCTGTTGTTTTAATTATGTGAATTAAAAAAGCATTAAATTGAGGAAGCGTTGAGCAAAAAACCAAAAAAAAAAGCAACAACAACAAAGAGTTTACATAAGGCATTTAGCATTCTCATATTTACGTTTTAGGTTATGTGAAGCATTTTGTGTCAAGTTCTAAATTATTCTCAAATAAGCTACATTTTCTCTAGCCGGCGGTGCACATTTGAGAACTGAGCCGCTTGACCAAACTTTGCTCCTTCAATTGCTATTCTATTTACCTAATATGTGCCAAGCCCAAAGCACTTACTCAACCGCTGTCTCAGCCCCTATTGGCGCTTTATTTGCGGCATGCCTCGATCGCCTAATATGTCAGCCACACACATGCCTGACACATACCAGTCGGCCTAATTATTTATTAGGCTTTGTTTGCGCGGCTAAAAGCGTTTAAACGGTTAATATTTGTAGCGATTTTTAGCCCAAACGAAAGCTTTTTACGGCAAAAGACGTAGTAAAATTCATTTACAGCCATTTCCCAGCGCTTTATTTGTTTGAGTCGCTTTATTTTATATTGAAATATTTTAAACGAAATATAGGCGTTACAGAAATCATGTAGGCTTTACTGTACTCTTTCATATACACTCTTGTGTTTGAGTCATAAATTCGCAATTCACAATTTTCAAAATATTTAAACCGCGCCTTTTTGTCAATTACACAGATATTTTTCATTTCTTCGCCTATTGTGGGCGCTATTTGAAATTCATGCGACAACAACAAGCGCAGACTCCGCGCGCTCGAAAATGCCTGCCGTCACACAGTTTGCGTTCAGCCTCCGCTCATTGCTGTTACACACACCTTAGAAGAATCTTAATTCCACGAATTCAGCGAGTTATTTGCAATGTGAAGAACAGCTTCGAGCACCTTCAGCATTTGGCAGATTTCAAGTGCGCTAAGCTTTGCTAGCAAAAGTACACATACACACACATCACAGGTGTGTAACTAGCGACATATGTTTACAAAGAATTTTTAGTGTTTTGTTTGCCAACTCTTTCGTTTTCGAGCATGGCTTGTAAATACATTAATAAGTCTAAATAGTTTTGTTGTGACTCTCGCGTATGAATTCTTCATTGAAACACTACACACCTTACTCAAACGCTTTACTCCGTGTTTTGTGTGAAACTTGACTACGAAAGTTTAAAGCGAATTTCGATTCTTATGTAAATTAGTGTGTATATTTTCATGTCTTGCAAAAATTTGCTGCGTAATATGGCATATTCTATTTTCATTGTTAAATTGTAGCAGTTTACTCAAAAAGCTTTACTTCAAACGCTTTTGCTGTTAGTAAAGCTTAAAGGCAACATATGTTTACCTATACGTGAAAGCTTTTTAAAAATATTTCCGGAAGTTCATTGCCTTTCTTAAAAACATGAAAACAATACAAGTTGTAATAGCTAGAACGATTATGAATGTAGCGAAAAGCTTTAGTACTATCAAAATTTTTATACAAGCACTGCAATGATTATAATTTTAAAAAAAGTTAGTGCGAAAAAGCTATACAACAGTATGAAAGCTCACTTATTCATAAGACTATTTTTTTAAAACCATTAAACATTATAGAACATTTATGAAAGCTCCGAAAAGCTTTCGTATTAGCAAAAAATTGATACAACCACTTATGAAGCTGCCATGATTATAGTTTTACAAAAAAAGTTATATGGCTTTTTAACAATATGAAAGCTCGCTGCGAAAGCTCATTTAGTTAGAAAATTTATTAGCGTTGAAATAAAAAAACCCATTTTTTGTATTTTGAAAATTGTATGAAAGTTTCATTTTCGAAAAGTGAAAGCTCATGCAAAAATTAAAGCATTATTGCAAATGCATAATAAGCTTGCAGCTTAACTTTGTAGAGCCATATAGAAAATGATTTATTTAATTACGTGATAGCTATAAATATGTGCTGATTATTATAAATATTCAATGTGATAGCTTTGCCTAAATAATAATAAATCCCATGTCTCACATATACAACGCATTAGCATCTTCTGCCGATAAAAATAAATTCATAAAATAGTTTCCTACTAATTTATTACATTATTTTTATGTACAACGCCTAAATCAAAGCAATTGTTGTTGTAATCACCTGCTGTGCATTATACGAGCTTTCCATTGTCAACGGGTCTTTTTATTGCTGCCATTACCGGCTATCGGGTTCACACATAGCCAGTCGTCTTAGGGATTTCCGCTGAATTATGTGCGAATAAAAAGCAACAATAAAGCTGTCGCATTGTTGTTGCACGTTGCGCGTTGCTTGTTGTCATATTTATGTTGTATGAGTTGGAAAAATGCAAATATTTCACGTCTTGAAGGAAAATTTATTTTGCGTCTTTAGGGCGCTTGGTCTGCGGTTGGGTCTCTGCGCGCTTCCAGCCAATTGGTTTTTGGGAAATCGCATTGTTGCGCAATTTCACATTTGCCTTTGTTATTGTTGTGCCAACAGTTACTTCGCAGTGCGGATTTGGTTTGCATTCTTCAGTTGTAAATCATACTTACACGCTTTGCATTTTTGAAGGTTGCCTTGTCAGCGAAGAATACCAAAAAATGCAAAAATGAAAAAATAGTATAAAAAAAATGCAAAAATAAATAAACACGTTAATAAAACGACGTTTTGTTGCATGCGATTTTCTGCTCCAATTGCCGCTGCACAGCGCGCTTGTTTGTCAAGCAAAAGCGCTAAGTAAATAAAACGCGGCGCTGCGTGCGGCATGCAAATCGCCGACACTATTGTGCAACTGCTGCAAAAGTTTTAAGGCAAATCCTTGAATGGTGCAACATTTTGTTATTCTCCTACTTTTCACGCCAAAGTTCTATTTCGCCCTTTTCACACTCTTTGCTTGCTTGTTTTGTTGTTATTTACATAACGCTTGTTGCATTTATACCTGCCACCTGCCATCTGTATTTGCATTTTTTGTATTTGCCACAATTGACGCGCACACACATCGCACTATTAGCTCCAGCCACGCCCACCCACAGTGTCTCTCCCTAAACAGCATGCCCTCTTAGCACCTTCTTGGCACTTTGCCCTTTTGTGGGTGGGCTTTCGCCTCCGCACGCTGATGGATTGCCCGTAATCACACTTGACAGGCTTCCAATGCGGCGCAGCTACAAACAATGCGCTCTGCTTGTCATATTTTCTGTGCACATCTGTAGCGCTTTGTTTGTTGCATGTTGCACTTGTGAATTGTGTGTACATTTCACTGCACACTTTCATATCAATACAAATACTTATGTGCCACTTTCAACTGGCTTTGCGTGCCGGGTGAACGGGCGCTCAGCTGATGTAAAGGTGGAATGCACAGTGGCGTGCGAATTGCATTCTAAGCCGAGTAGGGTATATGCTCAAGTACGTTAGCTGCTTTGATAAATTTGTCTAGTCCAAAAATACTTATATCATTATGACCCTGAGATTATCTGTCAGACTTCTACTTAGCATCTCTGGCGCCATTTCTTTAATGCGAGAAAATTACTTGAAATTCTCATCAAGTTTATATAACATATTTTATTTATATGCGCGTTATAACTCAAAAATTTTATTAACTGTTTCTGTACTTTGTCCAAAGCGACAGCTGACAACATATTTTACAACTACCACATTTTATCTCGTAAAAGTCTTGCTCTGTTCTCCACTTACTTACTAACCGTTCTTTACTTTATTTTACGCTTCATGCCGTCTGCCTTTAAGTGTCTTCTTAACTGAACACTAAGCAACTGTTTTTGCTATTTGTTTGCGTCGTTTGTGTCTTTGAGCAGCCGCTCAAGTGTTGTCACTAAATGTGGCAAGCACAATGTATATATACGTGACACATGTCCGATGAGAGCGCCCCTAGTTGTGCTACTAGCGCCACAATTGCAACCCTCTCGTGTTTGGGTTGACTTCGTTCGTCGCTCAAGTCATCTCCGCCCGTTTAATGAGCCATCGACCTACTGGCCCATTCACCCCATTAGCGCGCTAATTAAATTAAGCGCATTGTTTTGGTGGCGAAGATTAAGTGGCACAAATGCGCTGAGGACATGCTCACATTAAGTGGCACGTTTGGCGGTAAGCAAAATTTTTCGGGTCTGAGGGAAAAGCGCATGAAAATAGTGCAACTGCTTTCATTTGTAGGGTTGCAATCGCGCTTTATCCGTAACAAATACTGGTTTTACTAAACTATACACTAAAAATCATTTATTTTTCGGAGGAATAATGGCACAGCTGTCCGCGGAATCGAGACTTTATTACCTGCCTATATTTCTATCAACCGCGCTGATTGTTTTTCAACGCAGCTTTAGAGCTACACACAACTTGCAAGCATTGCAACTGACCAACATTATATTTTCTGTCTTTCAGGAGCAACTGCGTAGACGTCGCGAAGAAGAAGAACGCATTGCGCAGCAGAATGAGTTTCTACGCAACAGCTTACGTGGTTCGCGCAAGCTTAAGGCGCTGCAAGACAACAAGGCGGCGGCGCAACAGCAGCAGCCGACCTCTGCGGAGCGCGTTACGGGCGTGGAGAACGAGGCGTACCTGGACGATGAGGAAGTCGAGAAAGTCAATGGTGAGCACGAGATTAGTTTTATATTACAAACGCGCTATTTATCATTTCTCTTTCTCCCTCCAGGCTATGGCGAACTGATCGCTGCGCTGACACGCCTACAGAATCAACTTACCAAAAATGGTATGTCCACACTGGCGAGTCGAGTTTCGGCTGCCCACAATGTGCTGAGCAGCGCCGGTGTGGCACATGCGCTTGCTGCGCGTGCAGCCGTACTGCAACGGCGGCGCCCACGTGTCGCTAATCCAGTAAGCGTGAACGCCACCTCGCTGCAAAAGGATATTGTCGAACTGCTAACGCAATCGAACTCGGCCGTGGCTATCGAGCTGGGCAATCTGTTGACGAGTCACGAAATGGAGGGTCTGCTGCTGGCGCATGATCGCGTTGCAACGCTAACCGATGCCACACCATCACCCATACTTAGTGGTTCTAGCAGTCCCCAGCAAACATCAACAGGCGCGCCAGTGCCACTACCCAAGAGCGCAGCGCTACGCGGCACAGCAGTGCCACCGCCCGTAGTACCGCCACCGCTGGCACAACGTAGCGCTATGCCACTGCCGCAGAATATGACGGCGCCGCCAGTACCGCCACAGCATGGTGGTTTCATGAAGCAACCGATGCGTGCCGATTCGCCACCACTAAGCGCCTGCTTTGGCACACTGAATGACCAGAATGATAACATACGCATCATACAGATTGAGAAGTCTACTGAACCACTCGGCGCGACGGTGCGCAATGAGGGTGAGGCGGTCGTCATTGGACGTATAGTGCGTGGCGGTGCTGCCGAAAAATCCGGTCTGCTGCACGAAGGCGATGAAATACTCGAAGTGAATGGCCAAGAGTTGCGCGGCAAGACGGTGAACGAAGTGTGCGCGCTGCTTAGCTCCATGCAGGGTACGCTGACGTTTCTCATTGTACCCGCTGGTAGTCCACCGCCCGGTGGTGGCCATCGCGAGAATGCAGTGCTGCATGTACGCGCCCACTTCGACTACGATCCCGAGGATGACTTGTACATACCATGTCGTGAGCTGGGTATTAGCTTCCAGAAAGGCGATGTCTTGCACGTGATTTCACGTGACGATCCTAATTGGTGGCAAGCGTATCGCGAGGGCGAAGAGGACCAAACGCTTGCCGGTCTCATACCTAGTCAATCGTTCCAGCATCAGCGTGAGACCATGAAATTGGCCATTGCCGAAGAAGCGGGCTTGGCGCGCAGTCGTGGCAAGGATAGCAGCAAGGGCGCGACACTGCTGTGCGCGCGTAAAGGTCGCAAGAAGAAGAAGAAGGCCAGCTCTGAAGCGGGGTGAGTTAGTTGTGGTAGTGTAGATATTTTCAAATGTTATACGTCTCCTTTAACTTTTCGCAGCTATCCGCTGTACGCTACAACCGCGCCGGACGAAACGGATCCCGAGGAAATACTCACCTATGAAGAGGTCGCCTTATACTATCCACGTGCCACACACAAACGCCCTATAGTGCTCATCGGCCCACCGAATATTGGGCGTCACGAGTTACGTCAGCGGTTAATGGCCGATTCGGATCGCTTCTCGGCGGCAGTGCCACGTAAGTTACGAAATAAATTCTACTCGAAAACTAATGTAAGGCGTAGGCGGGCTAAGCGTGGGCAGCTTCACTGTCTAACTGTGTATAGTAGTAACTGCTTTTTCTTAGTTATGCGACTTCATTCAAAGTGCGTTTTAGCTTCAACTTTCATTTCATTATTTTTTAGTTGATTCTTCGGCATTTTATATTTATTTAATGTGCAGTTTTATTTTTGACAGCGAGATTTTTTCAGACACTCGCCTTTTTATCGAAAATAATTTCCTTTTTTCATTTTCGCTTTAGTTTTCTATTTATTAGAGGAGAAACTCAAAAAGGGTAAATGCCTAAAATATCGTTAAAATATTTGCAATGCTTACATCTAGAGGAAAATAGTAAAATTTTAGCTTGCCTCAGTCTTTAAACATTTTGCACCGCTGCGGCGGAGCATCAGCTGACGCTTTCTACTCCTCAAATATTCCATCTGCTTTAAAGCGCCGACTTAAGCTCACAAACAGCCGCGCATAGAAGTAATTAAGCGGCAATTTCCTTGCGCTCTACTTTGCTGAAGACACACACACACACTCACTGTTGGCTGTGCATTGGCGTGCTTGCCAGGCCTTAAGTCCTACTGATAGCCCTACAAGGACGAACAGTTTTTACATCTGTGTGCATGTATGCGTTTGTGTCTGTCACTAACGACTTAATTGCAGCAGCCAAAGCCAAAGGCAAAGCCGAAAAATGCTCACCTTCAATGTGTAGCGCTGTTGACAGCAGCCTTGGCTTATTCTTAAAGCAGGCGCAACATGCAAGCGCACCGTCATCCACACAGACGCTTGTCGTGTGTCAGCCAATATTTGAGGTGCTGCGCCCCTCCAGCTGCTTGCCCGCTGCCTGCGCTCATTCATTTCACCACTTACACACACACACACTCATACACATATTTATTTATTTACCTGCTGCACTTGTGCGGCTCTTCTCTTTGCGTTTTCTTTACTCCGCAGATACGTCACGTGCGCGCCGCGAAGGTGAAGTCCCCGGCGTTGATTATCACTTCATCACGCGCCAAGCCTTTGAGGCGGACATACTGGCGCGCCGCTTCGTCGAACATGGCGAATACGAGAAGGCTTACTATGGTGAGTAATTTACCATGTAATGAGTACACACTCGTACCTATATGCATATGAAAGGTAACTGTACACTCGGTGTACGTGTAAATACACTTTCATATCCTATCTGTTAAACAAATTAAGTAAATTGCAAATTTTCACATATCGTCTTCTTCAACGACGTTTTCTTTTATCTTTCGTTGTTGTAGGCACCTCGCTGGAGGCCATACGTACAGTGGTGGCGAGTGGCAAAATTTGTGTGCTGAATCTGCATCCGCAGAGCTTGAAGCTGCTGCGCGCTTCCGATCTGAAGCCGTACGTGGTGCTGGTGGCGCCGCCGAGTCTCGACAAATTGCGACAGAAGAAAATACGAAACGGTGAACCCTTCAAGGTGAGTGGACCAAGCTGATATAGATGTGTTATATTTAAACATATTCTTCGAAGAAGAATAGTATATTCTGAGCTTGTTTTGTCGGAACCATTAACACTAAATCAAAAGCCTAAAGAGCTGCGGCCTTTGAGCATATATCTTTCTTATTTCGATCCGCTTCTTTAGCAGTTTGTTTGTTTTCTGGTTACAACAAAATTAATTGTGATTTTTTTTTTAATTTTTCACCTTTTTTGACAAATCCTACCATTTCGCCCGTTAGGAGGAAGAGCTCAAGGACATTATAGCCACTGCCCGCGATATGGAGGCACGCTGGGGCCACCTCTTCGATATGATAATCATAAACAACGACACAGATCGTGCTTATCAACAGCTGCTGGCCGAGATCAATTCGCTGGAACGCGAACCGCAGTGGGTACCAGCCAGCTGGGTGCATAATAATCGGGACGAGTCATAAAGTCATTGGAAATAAAGTGCAAGCGAAATGAAGCGTGAAATGTACGTAAAACAGGGATTTGTGTATAAGGAAAATGAACTGGAAAGTAGAACTAATTGCAAACACGAAGTGAAAACACAAAACTAGGTGTAGTGCTGAAGATAATTGTTTCAAAAATGCTGTTGATTATGCTTTTATTAAATTTCTAACACCGTACTTGAGTTTCCATTTTCCTCTACTGGTTTCTTTTGTTTGTTTTTGAATATCCCACACCTTCGGAGCTTTTACCACGGTCATGCGCTTACACTGAGCTTATTAGCTTTCGCCAGGCGCATGAGCTCTCACAGAGTTTCGGAGCATGCAACAAGCTTCAGCGTTTTCACCAAGCTTCTGCGCTTTCACCGAGCTTATGAGCTTTAATTTTAACTTTTGTGAGCTTTCACTTCAAAATTACGTTCTTCTGAAAAAATGTAACGTTTTTAGTCGCCACTTTACCAATATTGATCCACAGTGTTCGTGTTACTACAAATACAAACAAAGGTTTCGCGCCGTGCTCGTGGTTTGAGCGTGCAAAAGCATATGCGAAAGCTTTATTTCCAAACGAAAATGCAATACTTACATATAAATACAAATATATATTATTTACTTGAACATACAGTATACATACATTTATATATATACACTTACACACACAGAGCAAAATTGAACGTTTTTATGTATAACTTGTTGATTTAGTAATAAAAATATAATTATTTGAAATTTGAAATAATAAAAAGTATGAAACAAATTATGCATGCAAACTATATATAATTTTTAAATCTAACATTTAACGGTCTTATTCATGAAAAAGCAAATTTTATGAAAATAGAAAACAAAATAATGTTAAAAATTGATTTTAAAGTATTTTTTCGACAATTAATTAAAATGAAACTAATTTAAAATTAATTTAAAAATTTTTTTAAAAATTAATTAAAATTTTAAAAAATTATCTAAAAAATATTTTTAAAAAACTTATTTAAAATTTTTTTTTTGAAAATTTATTAAAAAATATTTTTTAAAAATTTATATAAAAAAATGTTTGAAAATGAATTTATAATATTTTTTTAAATTGATAAAAATTATGAAAATTAAAAAAAAACTTACGAAAAATAAATTTTTTTATTAAAATTTTTTATGACATATTTTGCAAGATATATTTTGTTTAATTTTATTCAAAAAATGTTTTAATTTTATTGTATTGGTTATAGTTTTTTTATGAATTTGACCGTTTCATGTACTTATACAAATACATACACAGACAGTAAAAAAAGTTTCACAAATATTTTTAATTCTTAATTTACTTTATGTATTATATAATGTGCTGCATATACATATTTACTAAATCAAAGAAATTCCTTAATTACAAAATGTATATTTTTTGTTTTTGTTTTACTTAAGTTAGTTGTTTACCTTTATCTTTTCGAGCGTTTCTTATGTGTAAAAATTAGTTAATGAAAATAAGAAAAAAGTTTAAAAATTAAAGGAAAAACAAGATCAGCTGTTTTTGACAAATATTTTGTAAACTAGTAATTTAAGCTTAACCAGACAAAAACAAAAATACAACAATAATAAATAATATAAAAGTTAAATGCAACAAAAGGGTAAATCGAACCACAAAACAAAAAAGAAATAAAAAAGTTCTTGCGTCGGCAGAACAAACGAGCAACCGTTCCAAAGGTTTTGCGCGCTTCAAAAATATATAATGGTATGAAAGATAACGGCAAAAAGCAGAATTCACTAAAAAAGAATTTACTTTAAACACACGTACCATAAATACTAAAGATAACAACAACAAAAACACAAAGTGCTGCTAGTAACTAAACAGAACTTGCAATTTAGTAAGCAACTCATATAAGCTAGTTAAAAACAACAAAAAAAAAAAAATACACATACAAAACAACAATAACAAAAGCAAAGAACAAAAGCCACACAAAACGTGAGAGTAACACACACAAACAGCAAATAAATTCACCTAAAGTCAACACCAAAAGCAAAAAGCCGCAGCTCAAGCCAAGCTTTCACTGCACAAACGCGGCGAAAATGCAAAGCGAGTGCAGCTGAATTTGGAGAAAGCGAAATTTTGTAAAATATCTGATGCATTACGGCTAAGTATCAATCGATTTCAACATAACCTCAAACAAATAACCGTTAAACACACACATCGCTTAGGCACAGCTAAACACAAACGGCTAGCCAAGTGAGCAAGGCGCCACTGTGCGCTCAGCCCAAGTGTATGCGGCTGGCTTAAGGTTCTGTAGGAAATATTAACAACCAAAAAAAAGTAATAATAATAAAATAAAATAAAATGACATAAAAAAATTAAATTAAATTATATAAAAAAACATTTAAAAAAATTATATAAAAATCATTTGCCGCAGCGTAGGCAGAATAGAGCTAACTAAGCAACTAAATTTAAATGCAACCATATACAGTTATATATGTATGTTTGTAAGAGTATAGTTGAAATTGTTTATTGATTTGTTTTCTATTGAAATTTATATACTTATTGTGTTGTTAGGCCAAAGTAATTGAATTCATATGCGCTGCAAAGCGCTGGAAGAACACATGAAAAGTGGAAAAGAATATGCAAAACAAAAGTGGAGAACTTAATGCAAAATGAAATTTAAATGCAAAAACAAAAAAATAGGCATAACAATTAGAGCATAGCGCCAAAGTAGTTATGTAAAATTGTAACAAAATTCAGAAAATTAAAAAAAAAAACAGATCAACGCAAGGCTGCAAAAATCTGTAAACTGTTTATATTTCAAAACTATATATATTTTTTATTTATATTTTTTACATATTTATATTTATAATCTTTATGTCACATTCGCTTTTTTTTATTAACACATTTTTTTATTTATTTTTATTTTATTTTTATTTTATATTTAATTTTTTTTTAGAGCTTATTTTTTTATTTAACTTTTTGGTTTTTGATATAACATAAAAATTTTTTTTTTTAATTTTTTTAAATTTTTATTTATATGGTTCATTTATTGATTTTTAAAAATTTGTTTTAAATGGTCAACTTTTTTTGCGATTGTTTATACATTATTTCTATGTAAGACAATTTTTTTTAAAATTATTTTATATTTATATATGTATATTTTATTTTTTATAAATATTTTAAGTTTTTACTTTTTTTTAAATATTTTTTAATTCTAAAATTAGATTTAATAATATATTAATTTTTTCTTTAATTTTTATGGAAGACAATTTTTTTTCAATCTTTTTATGTATATGAATAATTTCCATAAAAAATATGATTTGTTGCGGCCTACAACAATCACACACAACCGTAGCAGAAAAATTATCGCCAATAAAAAAAATTTAATAAAAATATTCAAATTGAAACCATATGAGCAAAGTGTGCATGCAGGGTGTAAAACAACAAACGAAAATAATAAAAATAATAAAAAAAAATATTATTACAAAATAAAACACAAAATATATAGTTTAATATGAAAATGTATGTATGTATGTTAAATTCTTATGTAAAACGTAAAACACGAGCGAATACTAAATGTTGCAGAAACAGCGTTAAACTAAAACAAGATGAAATGAGTACGTAAAAGGCAAAAAAATAAAAGTAAACATGAAAATAGCATTAAAAAACCAATAGCTTAGCAAGTAATGAAAACAAGTCGAAAGTAAAACACAAAAAAAAAATATATATATAAAAAAAATAAAAATAAAAAATAACTAAATAAAAACCAATAGAAACAAGCCCAGAAATGTACTAAAGATAAAGGTAAATCACAGGTGAAAATATTATTATTATTATTTAACATTTAAATAAATAAATAAATCATGTAATTATATTAAAGAAATTTAAAATACAAAAATTAAAAAAATAATAAGAAAATTGTGCGTATTTATTATTATAAGCCTTGGAAAAACCAACGTCGGATTGAATTTCGGTAAGTACACACCGCGCTGTTTCTTGTAGTTTAGGTGCACACAAAGGTGTTAATACGGCTTAAAGATAATAATTTATTTCTCAATAAATAAATTTGTGTATTTTTGAATGCAAAACAGTTTAGAAATATTTGAAAATTTTTATAAAAAAAATTGACAATCATTTACCGAATAATGCCAATTTTTTGAAATTCAAACACTTGAGAAATCATTCAAGCTACACGAATATTTAAGTTTTTTTGCAAAATCCTTGAACAAATTTGATTGCAAAAAACATGGAAGTGGCTCTAAAGCTGTTACAAATAATTTATACGCATTTAAACAGTTTGAGAGCTATGACTATACGAAATATTTCAAATTACATGCTGCTTGCCACATGCTCCTGGAACACATTCTTGGGCCGGGCCGATAATAAGATTTACGCTAATATATTTCCGGTTTAGCAGACCCACCGAAATCTGTAGTTCGGAAACGGAAATGTTGCTTGAATAGAAAGTTCTTTGTTTTGTTGCCACTTATGAAATCTTTTGTACGGTATTGTTGTATAATAGGAAAAACTGCAGGAGTTAAAATTGCAGAAAATGTGTAAAATACAAACACAAAAGCTCTATAATGGTAGCAGCTTTGAGGGCCGTAAGCTTTAATGACTGCACGCTGCCGTTGAGCTGACACTGTAGGCAGCAGAAATGGTTCGCGTCTTCAGCAAAATGCTTTTAAAAAGCTTTCAACTTTTATAGCTTGTAGAAAAAGCTGATTTGTGTCAAAGCTAGGTGGTTATACCAGAGAACTATTGTTTTAAGTTCTCTGGTTATACTTACTTTTGCGGGTTTCTTCAATTATGATAAACTCTTTATAGCTTTTGTAAGAAAATTGCTTTAATACTACGCCAACTTTTGTGTAAGTTTAACACTTTTCTTCTAATAAACACTAGTATATCGTCAATAACATTATAAATGAAGAACTATAACCGCTCTTGTATAGTTTTATGTGTCTTAAAATAATTAAAAATATTTTTCTAACCTAAAATTGCATTAAAATAATATACATACATATAAGCAAACACCTGAACATACATACAAAATCTAAACTACATCCTTGATAACGCTAAAAAATCCGGTTTCTTTTGGCACTCTGCGTTCTTGGAAGCCAGTTCTCAACTGAATGGGATTATAGAACTACCGTTATTTCAACGGCACTTACTAACTATGAAATGCAACAAATGGCTACCAATTTAATCATCTTAATTAAATGTCGTCGATATAAAGTTATAGCCACTGCCAATATAATTTAAAGATCTACACATTGCCTAACCTAAACCAGCCGCATTGCAGTGGCATCTAGCTCGAGTAGGCCTCTCGCAACTGTTTGCGTAGTATTTTGCCCGTCAAACTTTTCGGTATCTCATTGGTGAACACAACGCCACCGTCCAGTCTCTTATATTCCGCCACGCGTTCGGCCACATAATTGTAGATCTCTTCCTCGGTGGCCTTTGTGCCTTCGCGCAGCACAACAATGGCGCGTGGCAGTTCACCGGCCAATTCGTCAGGTCGTGGTATGACCGCGGCCTCCAGGATCTTCGGGTGATCGCGCAGTATGCCCTCCAACTCGGCAGGCGGCACTTGGAAGGCCTTCACTTTGATGAGCTCCTTAATGCGATCGGTGATGTAGAAGTAGCCCTCTTCATCGTAATGGCCAACATCGCCGGTGCGCATCCAACCGTTCGGTAGGAAAATATCCGCATTGGCTTCGTCGTTGTTCAGATAACCCTTCATAACTTGTGGACCGCGTATACAAATCTCGCCGGTCATGTTGGGTCCCAAACCCTTGTGGCACTCCGAGCCGATAGCAACAATTTTCGCTTCGGTGTTCGATGCTGGCGCGCCAGTAGAGGAAAAATTCGTGTTATTCGGCGACACCTGCAGAGCAAGTGGTGATGTTTCGGTCATGCCGTAGCCCTGCACGAATTTCGTGTTGTGGAATCTGTAAGCAGTTACAGAAAACATTGGAATTCTTCGATATGAAAAGAGCTTGCACAAATAAGCGCGTACTCACTTTTTGATGAAGCGCTGCATGTCGTTTGCGGTGATCGGCGCAGCGCCAGTGAACACATATTGCAGATTGGGCACCATTTCAGGTGTTAACTTCGGGTAGTTGATCATAAAGAGCGCTGTAAGAAAAGTATTATAATATTGGTTTAAACTGTGTCCTAACTGCATTGCTGTGGACCTACCAATCGGCGGCACGACGTTCAGCATTGTAGATTTGTATTCACACAGAGCTTTGACGAGATCGTCTGGACGGAACTGTGGCACTGTGATCAATTTAACGCCAATCGACAGCTTCGACAGCATTATGACATTGAGACCGTAAATGTGAAAGAATGGCAAAATGCCAGGCAAAACCTCTTGCCTGCCGGAATTCCTGAAATCGTACGGCAATTCCAGCTGTTCGCCATTAATCGTGATGTTGTTGTGTGAGAGCTGTACTGCTTTCGGCATACCGGTGGTGCCAGAGGAGAATGGCAGGAATACTACGCTGTCGGGATCAATGTCGTAATCCCTCAACTGTGAGTAGTCAATATCTTGTAGATTAATTAGTTCGAAGAAGTCTATGGCATCGGCGGGCAACTTCTCATTTGGCTGCAAGCGTATGACAGCGATGGGCAGATTCTTTTGTGCCAACTCACAAGCTTCTTTCATCACTCCATAGCCGAGACTAGTAACCACGACAAATTTGCTGTCGCTCAGCTGCAGCTGGCGACAAATTTCCTCTGAAAACGGAAAGGCAACATAGAGAAAAGTGAGTTAAAAACCACAAAAAAGGATATTTGAAAAATATTCGTTTGAGATTGCAAGCTAAACGAATGTGGATTAACCAAAACGCTTATGCGTTTACAAGGGGCTTGAAAAGCATGCAATAAACATAGCATTGTATATAACAGCCACTACTAAGAAGAGCGACGACACTCAGTAATTGCTATTTGATATTCGTGGGTGGGACGAAACCGTCTGTCCAAAAGGCAAAGATAATAAAGACAATGTAAGCGAAAGGTCAAGCGATTTTAATGGACATTTTTCTTTCTCCTCAAGGTAGACGTTGTGAGTCTAAATGGATTACCTGAAGTAATTCAGCTATCAGAAGTGTACTAGAATACTTTCCTTTTGTGTCTTTAGCGATAGTGAGATATAGTGAAATGAAAGTTAGCTTGCTAAAATACGCCGACACTACCGATGCCTAACAAAAATATTTAAAAGAAATTAGAACCAAAGTAGCCTTTCACAACTTCAGAGCTTTCCGGAGTACATAGAGGTCGGATTTTCGTTACTTTGCGTTATATACAATTACTGGGGTCTAACTTTTAAGAATTGCTTTAGTATACTTCATCACTCTATTGAAAAAAAATTAAAATTTTTTCTCTTTCATTCACTCACCGGCTGTGTAGATTGGATTGACTGTGGTCACCATTAGACCCGCTTCTATGGCACCCAGCGTGGCAATCGGATATTCCGGCAGGTTTGGCAAGCAAATTGCGATAGTGTCACCCTGTGCTAATTTGAATTTGGTTTGTAGGCGTATGGCAAAGGCGGCGCTGCTGTCGCGTAACTGCGCATAAGTATATTGGCGGCCGCTGATGATGCAAACCTGCAATTACAGTAAAATGCGAGGAAAGTGTTGTAAAAGTGTTTCGAGGTGAATATTTCACAAATGCAATATTTTAAGTTTAGTTTCTGTTAAAAACGAGACGTCTATCGAAGATTGCAGTAATTTAGAACTATTCTACATAGCGTACTTTAGTAAGTAACTTAGTAACTAGTTAAATTTGGCCCAACTCGTAATTTCCACCATATGGTAAGTATGTTTATTAAATGTTTATTAAAATGCGCATAAAATGTAATTATCAGCGCCACTTTATAGTGAGAATTATAATGGCTAGCGGTAATTTATGAACACTTACTTATAGTTATTTTTAGTATTTAGATTGTCAAGCGCAATTATTTAGAAAATAAACCTTAAACGAAGTACTTTGTAATTAGCTCTAGTACTCTCTTTAGAGTTTATTAGTTTTTAAACTGCGATTTAACTGTGTTTTGTTGTTGTTGCGCGATTAAACGCGAGCTGAGCTCTGGGTGTTGCCATTAATAAATAACTGCCGATAACAAAGTACAGCGAGTCGGTTCAAAGTAAATAATAGTTATATAAAGAAACGGCTAATGCATTAATTAAGAAAGTAAAAATGTATTAATTATTTGTTGTGTGACTTGAAGTGATTTATAAGCGAGCAAAGCATTTTATGGTGGGTTAGGTTAGGTTAAAAGGTCGATGCTAAGAAGGCTCACACTTGGTTATAGAGCTTAAACGCCAGTCCGTTGTGCTGCCTAAAAACTCCCATAAAGCTGAATCAAAAGACCCTTACATGTCGACAAATATTTTATGGTAAATGCAAAGTCATTCATTGTGATAAGCTGAGCTATTTTACAAATTTCTCAGAAATTGGCAAACGAAATTTGCAAAAATAAGGTTCAAAAATAAGCTAAGCGTAGATTGAAGCAAGAAAGAACCTTTTCTATAAAGTAGGCTTGCTTTTTTCTAAAGTAGTTAGTATATGGTACACTAATCGAATAGCCTCGAAAGTACCGCTAAAGCACTAGCAGTCTAAGAAAATGGTAGAAAGTTGCAAAATTCTCGCTCAACTCTAAGAAGAAGTGTGCTCACAACAAGTAGTATATTTATATATACAAATACCGTAGCGGCTTTAAAATCATTGCAGTCTCCTAGGGTTTCGTCAAAGTTAGTGAATAAATGTCTTGATCTCTTAGTGGAACTGACATACCCTTTCACGATAAACCTGCAATGGGTTCTAGAGCATAGTGATATTCCTGATAACTGTGAAGCAAAAGAAGTAGCCAAAACAAGCACCATCCTACAATCCCTACAATTAGACCTCAGAAAATAAGAAATGTATATGACTGTGTCTACTTGTAGATATTTAATCGAAGAACATGTTATAAATATAGCGGCGTCTCGCTGGAGGCAATCGCTAATTTGTTCAATAAGCAGGCAAACGTGACATGATTGGAAAATGGGCCGCACATGCCGACTATTAAAATTCAAATGGAATTATATTAGAGCTCTATTAGGAGTGCTAACAAATCACAGTCTAATTGGCATAAGAGCTGGAATAACAGGTCGGAAGTAATGACGTGCTAATGTCTAATTCGCAGCCTTGTCAGCAGACTAGCTGCACCATAAAATGACTATTGTAGAAGCAGTCAGAAAATAAAAGAAGCGGTGACTATAATCCAACTTATATGCGAATATAAAGCGCTGTATCGGAAAAGGTGGCGATAACCATCTGTCGAGGGTTTCTAGACGATATTTCGGAGGTTGCACAAATAAAGCTTTTTGCGCTGATGAACTTCAGCAAAAGCACTGTTCGGTTCAGAGATGAGACAATAGAGTTAGGGCATTTTAGTGGCTGTGGTTTTACAATGCGCCTCATAAAGGCCTAGTTGCATCGTCAGATAGCCACTCTATGTACCTAACTACACCACACTATTAAAAGAGAGCAATACCCCTTTTTTAAACCCTCAGCTCGAAACAGTTGGAAAGCGCTAACTTCAAATCATACAAACAAATCTGTGACCAATATAACAAACGGTTAGTGAGCGATCAGACCAACATCGAATTTATGGTGGAGAATAAAGTACCGTCCCCTATCGATGGCATAAAAATCGCTTTTAAAAAATAAAATAATTATACGCACAAAAAACACAATTTCAACAACCTTCTTTGCTATTTTTTTAATTTTTTTTTATAAACCTAGTGTAGATAATTTTTGGTTTTTGCAAAATTCAAAATCACTTTTGCGTAAATAGCAAAATAAAAAATAAAAGAAAAAAACACGAAATCTGCGCTGAAACTGTTTGCTTTTCACCTATGAATGCGCTGTGTGTTTGTGTTGCGTTATCTTTTTTTATTGCAGTCCAAAGCTCAGTGGTTCAATGTGCAAAGTCTAGATTGGCTAAATATATTATGAACACACACGAAGATGGGGGCGAATAATTACAGAGACTCTAATGGGTATGCTAGCGCAATGGCATTGAGAGATAGCGAGCAGTCTAGCGAGAGAGCGGTAAGAGGTGGGAAGGGATGAGATAGATGAGTTAGGCTGAGAGTAAGCATGTGGAATGAGGCGGCAAATAAAGTGATCTATGAATTTAGTTATTAATAATATGTATAAACATATGTACATACATATTGTATAAAAACACAAAATTTGAAGAATCTATAAATAAAAATAATCTGCAGCGGCGTGAAATCCGAACAGCAGCACACTCAAATAAATATGTGGAAAACCAAAAATAGTTTTTTTCTTTTATGTATGATTTTGTTTTCGGCGATGGAGGTGTGTCAGTGCATGACGCGACAAATTCTCTTGTTGCATAGTGCAAAGCGTAAATAAAAATAACATAAAATTCTGAATGAAGCAAACAAAATGTAGTGCAATAATGTACCAGTCCGACGTTTGCAACGGCAGCTGCCGACCTGATTTTGGGTGTGTTCGATTAGTTATACTATATGTGCTATGAGATTTGTAAGCATTGAGTAAAAGTGTAAGAACTAGATACACAAATATTTAGAAATATAGAAAGAGTTTTACTTGAGATGCCTGATACAGGAAGAGCGATATCCAGTATCTAACAAAATCCAGAAAATTTAAATATGTGCTAACGTACAAACAGCCCTTGTCTAACTAAAGGGTTACCTTCCAGATACAGGTAGAACGCACACTCTGTAGAAATCTCAAAAATATATGCCACAGTTAATTTAAATTAAAACTACACGAACGCAGAACCCAGCTGACAAAATTGCTGGTTATGCTACCAAGAAACGTTTACTAGAAAAGGCAAAGAAAAACAAAAGAATAAAATCTATAAGGTAATCGAAATGAAAACAAAACACTTGGGCCATAAACAATGCAAAAAAATCGTAAAAAGACGTAGGTATAATTAAAACAAACAAGCAGCGTGTGGTTGATGTGAATTCATTGAACCCGCCAGCGGTGCATTCGCAGCTGCAGAACACGTCGCTATCGCGAAAAAAATTTATTTATATTTACAAGTGTTTATATTCACTTCTGTCTCCAATTATCGACAACGGTTTGCGTTCTCGTTAAGTAATGAGAGATCTTTGGCGAGTGTCGGCGCGTAGTAGCGAGCAGTCGAAGATTGAGAGTAAGAAATATATATAAATGGAGCAGAGTGAAGAACCAATATGAGTGGGAAATAGGGTAGAGGGTATACATTAAAATTCACTTTCAGGCACTGAGTTGATATATACGACATGCAATCACATACTATGTATTATTGCAGGGTTGCTAACCCAACCACCAAGTTACTTATAAAGTCAGCTAGCCGTTCAAATATTAACGATATGACTTAAAATCACATCACAAAGGCTGAAACAAATCACATGTACCAACCAATACAACACATAGGCTGCGCTTTTTTTTTATAGAAACCCAGAAATTTATTAAGCACGTGACTTAAAAACATATCACAGCGGTATTACATCACATGATGTCTTCACAACTAACGGGAGGGGTAAAAAGCTCAGCCAGCAGCATTTCTTATATTGACATCACATCAGACATGTCGATAAATATCACATGATCTAATCAAAGCTCATGGTATGAATGAATAGCCCAGCTACTAGCGCTGTATAGTCCAGCAGGTTAGTTACACTGAGTTTGCGGACACATTACATCAAACGTGCGATGTCACATGTTCTCATTAGGACATCACGAAAAAGGTAGCCAACCGTAGTACCGTTACCGTTATAAAGGCGTGCAAGCCAAACGGTTTGTGAGGTTACATCGTATGATACTACATGATCTGATCAACACATCACGTAATGGTTGCTTAGCCCAGCTACCAGCGTTTCTTATAAAGGAGCATGGGTTTCTCAGAGTCTGCAGACAGATCACTTCAAAGGTGCGCTATCAATTCAACAAATTAAGATTTCATGGCAGTGTAGTGCTTCCACTTATTACCGTTTCTTATAGAGGCGGACAAGCCAGCCGGCATTAAGCTGCCATCTAGATGTTTTTTTTATTTATTTTTATTTTTTTTTTTTTGCACTCACTCTACACACACACATAAATCTATATATAAATATAATATGTAATAAGTGGCGAGTGCATCCAGCAGGCATAGCGCGATTCTTTAAATTGAAATGCTGCTAAAACTATTCAATTGTGGCACAAGTCGCGTCAATTGAATGCGCAAGGCTCACTGATACTAGTAAATATGTGCTTTACATGTATTTAAATGTATGATCGTATAAATGTGTAAAAATAGAATTAAGATTGGCACAAATTGCACTTTGTTGGCATTTATGACTTTATGGTCTCGTTGTTGTTGTTGTTTTTGTGTTATAAAGTATCAACATTGACTAAAATTAAGCTCTGTATTGAAAGCGTTAAAATGATTGGCACGACATTTATGGTTTTATTGCTCAATTACACTGATATTTGGATTTTTACTTGCATGTAACAAAAAAAAAATATATAAAATAACACTAAAACTAATATTTATTTATAATATTACTAGAATAATTGTAAATGCATATTTATATATAAATTCTAACTAATTTGCTTCCGAATTATATTAAAAATCATTCACCCACAATAGCGACTATTTTTTCTCGCATGCTATATTTTTTGTTTAGGCTGATATTTCACCGGCTTAAGTCATTCTCCCATAGCAGCGACACTTTTTCGCGCATGCTATATTTTTATTTTTTTTTGGCTGATATTTCACTGGCCTAAATGAACTAAATAACATTCCGAAAGTCTTTACTGCGCAAATAAATCACAAATTCTAGATAGCAGGCGCATAAACATTAGCCTAGGGCTATTAAATAATAAACATTCTTTGTTGCGAGAAAGTTGCTTCATTGTCTAATCTTATCAGCGTAGAGTTAAAATCCGCTCAAGAGGCTCACTAGTACAAAGGTCGGTTGCTAAATAACCACTTTTGAATTAATTGGAATATAAACCAAAGTTGTTAAAAGGCAACAAAGAGCACACAATGAAACAAAAGCCATAAATAAATAGTCAAATCTGTGTGATCTTGTTTTTTGTTATCAAGTTGTTTGTATATAAGTTATTATAAATTATTTGCAAAGGCTTAAAAAAATGTATATTTTGTTTAATGAAGAAAGTAAGAGCGAGTAAGCAAATACAGAGTGTTAACATGTTTCATGATAAATAATAAACGAAAGCTGTCAAATAAATGGCAGTTTGGACTGTCAGTTGGGCACTGTGTAATGAAAATTATATGACAGAAGTCAAAAGGATGTCACATAGACGCCAGATGGCTGCTGTCAAATGGAGAAAAAGTAGCATCTGCCATATACCAACACAGAATTGTACAATTACAGGCTGTTTTTCACAACTCACCGTCGCTATGTCCTTCTCGAACTTCTTGAAATCTCGCCACACGTATTTGTCCACCGTTAGATTGACCGGCTCGACAGGCTCGAACGGCGACTGTCTAATGTAACCCTCCTCTTCAGTGTAAACTACGAGTTTATCCAGCTGTGTCAGCAGCGTGGTGGCGGCCGTGCTCAAACTGCGCGCGCCGCACGCAGCGACGGCCACGGAGCACTGCGCAGGCTGCGCGAAAATCACAGAACGCAGCAAATGGCGCAGCATTTTAGCACAAATATTTCAAATCAATACGCACAAAACACTAAAAGAATTTGGTTTCAAAATTTATAAAATATCAGTGGATCCTTTGCAGCGCGCTAATACAGTGTAAAAGTACACTTTTTGAAAACTTGCGTTCACTGCACAACTATTTTGCTCTTCTTGTACGACACACAATTATTATTGATTCGTTACGTTGATTTGAAGACTGACAATGCTTCAATGTTTATTTTGTTTGCTGTTGGCTCTTAGCGTAAAACGCGTCTGTAATCTTTGGCTGTTGCGGCGCTACTAAACGATGGTCGGCTCTGTATAGCGCTTGTCACTTTGTTGCCCTTTTGTAGCGAGGTATGGTGTTGTTGTTGTTGGTTTTGTTTTTGCTACTGTGCTCGCGTCACCGCCTCTGCACATTCAATAGATCGGGCGATATGTGTGTGTGTGCATGTTGTTGTATATACCGCTCGCATTAATGTGTGATTTTATGATTTGTTGATTTTTGTTTTTGCTTGCTTTATCTTCACTTGCGCGCTATGCAATGAACCGGTTCGACGACTTTAATTTTTAACAAATTTTTAAAAAATATTTTTCGTAAATTGTTTTTGCGCTGGCGTACAAAGTCCAAATGTATTACGGTTGTTGTTGCTGTTTTCGGTGCAGCCGATTGCGCCGTATGTTGCAAGCGCATACACAATGGAAAAATATTTGACGCACTCGCCAGATCCCTTTTCACCTTTGGGCGCTCGGTAGCATGTGTGTATGTGTGTGTGTGATTACAAAACAGCTGCTGTGTCGTTCGGTCTTATCAAAACTGTAATTAAATACAAAATAAATTATTTAACATTGATTTTTGATTTTAGCAAAATATTTATTATTTTATTATTGTTTTTGTTTTTGTTTTTCTATTGCTCGACTTATCTCTTCGTTCTTTGTAAATTTTTTGCAATCGCCACAATTAAGTTATTATTGTGTTCAACTGTATTTATTAGCCGCTGTTTACAATTGGCTATTAAATGCATGCAATGCCCCGTGCGCACGTGACTAATGCATAGTGTGTACATATATATGTAGAGCAATAATTGCAAAAGTCATGAAGTCGCATGAAAAACTAATATTTTTGTTAGAAAAGCATAAAGTCTTTACAGGTATACAAATACACAAAAGAAAAGAAAAGTCTAGTAGCAGTTTAGTCTAAAAGCTTTGTGAAAGCTTCGGTATGCAAAATGAAAGCCGCTGCGCTACTAGATTATCACAGCAAGAAAGCTTTTTATGAAAGCGTGTCCTATTTTATAAAATTATTTTAATTTGTTTCTACATATATACTGCTTAACGAGGTAGACACAAAAAGGTTAAGTTCTAAAAGCTTTCTAAATAAATTATTAATGAATTTTAATATCAAACTTGATAATATCTAATTTATAGTAATCACGGTTGGACAGTAAAAAGCCAAGATTGTCTTAAAAGCTTTGAAGTTGTAGCGAAAAGCTTTAGAGCTTTTGTTATTAGACGTTTTTAAGCAGTTGTATCTCAACTCAACGGATTTATTTTGAACAAGCTAGGCTTACTTTCAGTTGCTGTTTTCCCGATGACTATTTAGAGATAAAAAAAGTTGAATCCTAAAAGCTTTCTAAATAAATTATTAATGAATTTTAATGTCAAGCTTGATAATATATATTATGCAGTAATCTCATTCGAAAAGCAAACATACTAGATATTTTTGCAAGCTTGAAAGCTGTAGTGAAAAGGTCTAGAGCTTTTGTTATTAGACGTTTTTTTACAAAGCAGCAATTATAACTCAACTCAATTGTTTTTTGTAAACAAGCTATTCCTATTTTCTGTTGCTGTTCTGTCAATAAATATTTGCTCCAACACATTTTAAATACATTTTTTATGTTCATGTACCTACATATGTAAAACCAAAGATATCCACTTAGTGAGAAACACACGCCATTCAATAGAGTTAGAATATATAGAACACTACACAAACAGCGAAGAATACGGCACATAAAGAAGGACGCGAAAATCGCTAATCGCCGCGTCTTACCAACGCGTAACTAACCTTACTCAACCAAGATCGCTAGCGTGCCACTGGCGTTGTAGAAGTAAACTGAACTGAGCGGCGATATTTGTTGTATTTTTGAATTTGTTGCTTGCCATTTACATATACGCTATATATATGTTTATATGCATACTTATGTTTCTATGTATGTAGCAGGGATATAAGGTGGGCCTAAATGCTGCAAATAAAATGCGCAAGCTGGAACTTGTGCAAATGAAAAGTGCAGAGTTTGAAAAAAGAAAAGTTAGGTTAGGACTGTTTAAAAGAAAAACAAGAAAAAGTGTTAACCTCGGCTGCACTGCAGCTATATTACTCTTACAGGTGCATGTTTGAAGCATAGAGGGGTATAAAAAGTTCTTAAGCTTGATTTTGAACTGTCAGGTTATATGGCAGCTATTAGCTACAGTGGTCTGATCTGAATAATTTCTTTGCAGCTTGCATAGTTTATTTAGATAAGAACACGTGGCAAGTTGCTTAAAGATATCTCGTAAACTGAAAAAATTTTCCACACAAGCACTTGATTCCCATAGTTCAGTTTGTATGGCAGCTATAAGCTATAGTGATCCGACTCGGCTCGTCACGCTGATCAATTATATATAAATATATATATATTATATATATTATATGTATAGTTTGTATGTTAGGTATAGCTAAGAAAAAAATAAAAATTTGGTTTCAATTCACGTTTATAAAGAACGCTCACCGTTAAACACTCTCTTGCACAGTTTTACTGAGCTAAGCGCATACAAACGCTATCTTGTGCAATTCACTTGTCTCGTGTAGCCCATGCATTATGTCAAATAGCCAGCTGGGGCGGAGTAAAAGGGGAACGTGTGCGAGTTTCTGAATTTCTGCAGATATTTTAATGTCATTTATGTGTAAATGCAAGAGTAGAAGTGCAAAAATGATGCTGAGTGCGTCTATAAATAGAAGGCTCACGCTAGAAGCGGTGCGGGTGCCATATACATATGTGTGTTTATTGAGTTCGTGTAGAAATATGTTGTCTAAAGTTAAAATATAGTTCAGATTTATGACAGAAAAGTAAGGCTCGGGTAGCCAGTACCATATCATAACTGCTTCTTACTTTTCTCTTAGATTCTTATAGAGAAGTTGGGTTGCTGTAAAATGTCATAAATTTCCCCAGCCGTTTTCTAAGCAATTGCAGCGAGAGAGCTACAAAGTGTCACAGTTTCAAAATTTTTAAAATTTCTCTAACGTTAATTTATTTAAATTTTTATTAACTTGAAATTCTTGCTAAAATTTTTACCAATTTTCACGCATCAAAACAAGTTATGAGGAAAAAATAAAATTTCCAGCAAATATTTTGTTGGCGGGCAGACAAGCGTTCATTACAAGCTAGATCTAATGTGTCTAAGTAATTAGCAAGAAATATTACTTGTTAACAAGTTCTACTCTATATATAAGCGCATACACACATAAGTACATACATATACACAAATATATTATATATACGGATCACTTGCTGTTTAAGTAGCTCTCCGCGGATCGCGCTACAAAATAGAAGGTGTGGCAAACGGACACACAATTAAAGCAAATAATAGTTTTGGGACAAAAATATAATTTTACGGAGCGAGAGAGAGCGTGTGTGTGATATTGAGGGCAACATGACATCCACAAATCGGCTGGTGGGCTCGTTTATTTACATATTTACCGGTTATTTCACGGGTTTGCGCGCAGCAGTGGACACTTCGAAATGTTTACCAATGTAAATACGTAAACTTATTTAAACAAAAAACAAAAAAAAAAAACCTTTTAGGGTGTGTAAGAAAAAAAAAAAATAAATGAATGTATTTTTTCGCTTCGAATTATGAAAAATTGGTTGTTAGACACCTCTATGAAAGTCACTTCAAGTATGAGCTCTTTATTGTAACGAGAAGGTACTCCGCCTTACAGTTTTCTATTTTTTTCTTATTATCAGTTAGAAAAATTCATATATCGCTGATAGACATTGATGTTTGATGATGAATATCTCGCAAACGCTTAACTTAAACAAAAACCTATAGGGACCATTAATAAAATATTAATTTTTTTTTGTCACACCCTAATATTTATGCGCATACATAACAACAACAACGACGCTGTATTGATGTTCGTCGCATTGGACTTTGCGCCCAAGCTTAGCGCGACGCCCGCTACAGCGCTGATTAGTTGAACGGCGGAAACAACCGGTCGCGGCATAAGCCGCAGCTCCAAGACAACAAAGTTTTGGCAGGTTGTGATCAGCACCGATTAGGCTTTGGAATGTGGCAAAGCGGTGAGAGGTGCCTGTTGGAAATTAAGCGATAGTTAAAAAGTTGTAGAAATAAAATTATTATAAAAAATAAAAATAAAAAATAAAAAATTTCAACACTGTCTGAAAAGTCGGTATAAATATTTTGTATAATTAATTGCGGTGGGTAACACCTTTTTACTTGAGGCAGCTTACAAGTGCTGCTGAGCGATGAGATTGAAGAAAAAGCGAGAAAAAACAAATCGTTATCGAAGAATCATTACAAACGCTGATTAACAGCTTTATAATCAAGCCATAAATTGTATTTGTAGCGCGCAAAACTCACAAAGCGGCACAAAGTAGAGCTGCAAGAGACCAACAAAGAAAATAATAAAGAAAATAAGCAAAATAAAGTCAAGCAGAGAAAACTAGCAACAAAATGCTAAAAAGCAAAGCAAACAAGTGATGAAGCCGCATAAATGCTGTGACAATGAAGGTCTCTTTGTATGCGCGTCCGTGTGTGTGTGATAAGCGACAATAACAAGTCATATTGGAAATTATTGCTTAACGCTTGTGCAATAAACCGAACTGCAAGGCAATACGAAATAAGTTCCACACAGATTTGATAAACGAACCGTTTACTGTTATAGCTGGCTTAAATATTTTAGTATTGTATTTAGACACATATATAAATTTTGAAAAATAATCTCGTAGACATGTATTTAAATAGTTAGGCTTTAAAAATATTTTTAAAAAATTAGAATGTTTCGAAATTCTACATTATAATACACACTTAATAGCTGACTTTGCTGACAGATCAGGCAGATTTCCATCTCCCTATCTAATAAATAGATTCGGTACTTTTCGAAAGCTTTTGATATTATTTCTCGTTTCCTCGTTACCACAAACTCGTTGCTGCGGCGACTCTGTGCACATACTACCTGCATTTCCAGTTCCGATGTCATCTGGTTGTTGTTTTACGTAAGTAATACGGAAGAGCTATCCATCAAACGATTTCTGTATCGATTTTATGCATACAAATATCTATTCAAGGGTGGATTAGGAAGGTCTTACAGTTATGTCGATAGTAATGCCAAAAACTAACGAAAATGAGAAATGAATTGGCAACATGTTGAAGAGGTTAACTTTTATTAGAGATAAGTTTAGATAGTGGCTGTTTAAATAGGTAAGCGGCATAATGAGAAACATAAGACAACTGCATAGAGAAAAGTTCAAGTGCCACGAAATTCACTAAAAATATATATGAATGCGTAATAAAATGTTGCATAATGTGACCCAAAAGCCAACACCAGCGTACTAGTTGCAAATGTTTCAATTTTCCGACAGGCTGCTTGTCATTAGAAATAGTGAAACATTTGTAAGCTATTTCACGCCTGGTTGCCAACAATGGGCTCTACTGTTTGTACTAATTGCTCTGAGAATATATTTTACATAATTTTCGCTTACCAATTTCTTTATATGTTTTATAAATGGAGACACGTTTGTTGGCAGCAATTGTTATTGGCAGTTATTTAATTTAATTTATTGTCGTTTGCTAAATAAATATATTTGCATTTCCACTTTACACTTTTTGTTGCAGAAAGTCTCAATTCGCTTACCATTTTCAATTAATGTTCATTTACACTCAATTGTTACAACAAAGCATTAGCACTTCTACTTTGAAATCACTAGCAAACTACTGTAAATAGAGTGCATAGTTCACTAAGAACGCAGTCTATGAAGCCTACCAATTGGCGCAAAAGGCGAAAAGCCATTAAGCAAAGACAGAATTGCAAAACATTGAAGGAAGGCCAAAGCAGCACAAAATGCAGAGGGTGGGCGCCACCCTAAACCAGCCAGACAGAGACTGGTGTGCGAGAGCAAGTGTGACGACAGGGAGAGCTACGGCTGGGCAGCTGTAGTGATAGCCTACTTTTTGGCGCTTTGCCTGAAATTTTGGCGGTTGTTTGGAGGCAGTTTGAGCTATACACATAATTATTTGTATAGTATGCTTGTAGCTGTTTATGTTTACGCTGAGAGTTGTCACAGCAAACGTCAACAATATGTGGCGGTATAGTGTACAAGCTGCTTTACTGGTGCTTTGGCAACATTTTCGCGCGCATGGCAAGTGCTAATGGTGGCTGCAGTGGCTATACTTGTAGATTTCGCTAATGCACGAGAGATGGCGGCGTTGCAGGTATGGTGGGTTTGGTGTATTTGTAATGAGCGTTGTGCAAATGGCAGCAGTAGAGAAGAGTTGCTTTTGCTTTTAAAATTAGTGTGATATATAAAATTTTTTTTAAATATTAGCAATTTTATGCTGCCACAAACAAAAAAAAAAAATGTTTAAAACACACACCGCGCAACAGCTGTTTGAAATTCACCACAGCGCACACTGGCTGTCTCGCTTGCACATGCACAACTCCAAATGAGCGCGCGCTCCCCCGTCCACATAGTTATGCACAGGCTCCGCTCTGCAAGTGTGACACACACAACGCGCCTGACCGGTGCGCCGAATTCCACCACTCGCGCTAACGGCTCGTCGCCAATGAAATTCGTGCCGTTTTCGTAGTCAACTTTTAGGTGCGTAACCAAGTGCAACGTTGTGTCGCTACAACGGCGCGGACAATGTGTGTGCGTGTGTGTGGGGCTAAACGTTTTTGAAAAGTTACCAACAACAACAACAAAATATCCAGTTTATGTCCAAAGCGTATAGTATTGAGCAAACGTAGAAAAAATTCAAATTCGGTGGAACTTTGCGCAAAAGAGAATGTGAAAATGTGGATTTATACGCGCTGTCTGCGCTAAAACGCCTAAAAGTAGACCAGCTCTAGCTCTAGTGAAAAATTTGTGCTCATAATTGGAAACGTGCATTCAACGAAAGGGAAAATTTGCGAAAATCGCAACGGTAAAGGTGATGAAAAGTGAAATTTTTAAAGCAAAGCGAAATTATTGTGTAATGACATTGAGCGTGGCGAGGCGAGTGGCAAGCGAGTCATGACGACGACTACAACGGCAACAACAACGACAACGACAAGCTGAAACATAACGGTGCGCGCTGAAGTAGGAGCAGCAGGTCGGCGGCAAGGCAAGAAAGTGTAAGTGGAAGGATTTTCGAAAGTGAAGCGAGCCGAAAAGCATACATAAGCACACGTACGCGCACACGAATGCGTACGAATTCGAGCACAAACAAAGTATATGTGTCACGCACGAATAGGCACGCATACAGTCACAAATAACACATACACACAGCCAGCGCAGACAGACTGACTGGCTGGACGGCTGGTTGTTTGCTACGCGACTTCATCGCTCCCGTGCCTCACTGCCCCACTGACAGGACGTCGGTCGCAGCTGCTAGTGCACTCGTCAGTTGGTCAGTCAGCCAGTCGATCGGTGTAGCTTCGTGCGCTCGCTCGCTTTGGCACATTGCTCACACCCATCGCTGCCTCCCTGCCTGCAGCCGCTTGGCCATCGCTGAGCGCCTGTGAGCCCACCACGTTCAACAGGATGCAACAGCGAGTTTATATGTGTATGTGCGTGCCTGCTCGTATGCTTTGGCGAAGCTCCTCTAACTCGCCACCAAACTCGCGTGAGTTCTGTGTGTTGTTTCGTGTGCCTTCGCGTTCGCGTCGCGTGTTCGGTTTGAATTATGACACACACTTCAAGGAAAACAACAACACACAGACACAGCGGAGCTCGAGTAAATGACTTTTGGTATTTCCCTTTCACTTATTAAATATGAAAATACCAGTAACTGACATAGTTTCGCCACGCATACGTGTGTGTGAGTGTATGTGTGCGTTTAGCGAAAGTTTTGCCAACAAAAAGTAGCAATGTGCTCTATGATTTACGAATGCAATGAGAAACAAACGGACTCTCGCATAAGAAACGACAAAGCGGCAGCAAAAATGACACAATTTCGCGTGTGGCGCCTTAAAGTATACTTTAGCCAAGCAATGGTGTGCCAAGACGCTGTGTTTGTGTGTGTGTGTGCGTGTGTTTTATTTGCGTTGCTTTTGGCGTTGTGTTGATTGTGCGAAAATCTTAAGGCCATTTATTAAAGCTGATGATTTGCTTTTACATAACACAATCGTTAAATTGTTGCATACTTTTACGAGCGCTTTAAAGTATTGTAGCAGCGTAATATACAGTTTGTGGCTAAATTGGCAGTAAAATATAATTATTTTTAGTTTAATGTGAATTATAGCAGAATAATTTTGAGAGAGAAAATTCGAAAGTGCAGCCGCCAGCTGAGGAGACTCAACTTTAGAGGGCTTTGATGGTTTAGCTACACCTATATTCGACTTGCAGACAGTAGCTTATGGAGCTCATGTTCTAGGCTACTAAGAATTCTTTGAGTAGGGATCAACTCAACCAAATATGATACATTTAATAAAAATTTAGTTGATGTGGTAAACGTCTACCAGAGGACTTAAATTCTTTGTATTAGGGATATGAGGTGTAGAATAAGGTCTAGATTCATTCCATGCTAATTCAGCGCTAAACCACATAATTTTTAAGAAAACTTGTCCATTTAATTTCATTAAAATATTACATTTGACCAACCTGAACGGTTTAAATTTAGGAGGAAAGACGAAAATCATTACATGGTGTATATGGTATTGTGGGCAGAAAAAGGGGCTATATGAGAAGTAGGCGTAGTTGTAGTCCGATTTCCTCCATTTTATATTAAAACTACATGGTAATATAGGAATTTTATATAAATATATAAGAATGTTATCTACCAAATTTGGTTGAATTCCGTTTGGCAGGTTCCGAGCTACATATGTGATTTCACCTAAAAGTGTGCGGTGCCACGCCCATAGTACAATTTTGACACCGGCTCCTATTAAGCCTGCTTGCGCCAACCTGGTTGTAAAATTTAATGTCTGCGATGCATTTAGTTATTGATTTAGCGCACTTTTAGTAGTTTTTAACAAAACCGTTATATGGGGAGTGGGCGGGCTTATCATACGATTTAACCTATTTTCACACTATAGTAAGTAGGGTTAAAAATATTTGTTCTGTGCAAATTTGGGCGATATAGCTTTATTGGTTTGAAAGATATATACATTGTACATTATTAGTGGGCGGTGCCACGCCCACTTTTAAAACGATATTCAAAACGCAGGTGCCTCTTCTTAATGTGATTCGTTGTGCCAAATTCAAGTTTTGTATTTACAGCTTAGTTATAGCACTTTATAAGTTTTTGATTAATGGCGTTTTGTGGGCGTGGCAGTGGTACAATTACGCCCATCTACAAACTCGTTCTTAATATTTTTTTCCAAAACCATGTACCAAGTTTCATCAAGTTATCTTAATTTTTACTCAAATTAACGCTTGCACAGACGTACAGACGGTTGGACGGACGCACAGATAGACAGTCACTCGGAATTCGACTCCTCTCATCACTCGCATCATTTATATATAGATAACCTTATATTTAACTTGATTATTTTTAGTTGGTACAAACAACGATTAGGTGAACAAAATTATTATACGCTATGGCAATATGTTGCAGGAGTATAAAAAGTTTATGAAACCAGCTTTATATTGATTTTGATTGGTCGGTTTGTACGGCCGCTATATATTTACTATAACACTCCGTAGTCCAGTACTAGCATTGCCTAATAGAATAAATAATCTGCCTTGTCAAATAATATATTTTCCATGCAAGGTTTTAACTTTGATCGATAATTTCGTATGACAGCTATATGCCATAATGATTCGATATACATAGTTGGTATCGACAAGTATTTTTATATTTATGCCTAGTCTAAAACTCGCTAGTATCGAGCATTTTTTCAGTAAATTTTCATTTTCCAGCAGCTAGTTTAAATACGCGAAGCTTTTTCTTCGTTTAGAGCCTAAAAGTAGACTATAAGCGACAGCAGTTATATGTTGTGCTGCAGAAAATAATAATAAATTGTTGTGGCTAACTAATGTTTGAAAATCTTGTGCGCTTGTGTGTTTGCGGTTACTTACTTTTCTTAAAGGCAGTGTTTCGCAAGCCTTTAAAAGCAAAGCAGCGCGTTATATAAAAAATACTTTGACAATGAAATTTATGTGCTGACGATGCTCGAGTCTGCCATTTCCATTTAATTTTATGTAAGTCCATGCGTCTTGGACTTGATTTGAGCTACGGAGGTATGCTACAATATACACATGCTTGTCGTCAGCACGCGCACACAACAGTTATGCGAAAATGAAAGCCAACAAGCGCTTACGTTGGTGAGTGCTTCAGCGAACACGGGCCCAGCTCAAGTTAGTAATTCTGCCAGATATTGAAAAATTAAAAATTCAGTAGCACAAGCGCAGCGCGTGCAGGACTAAGCATCCACCACACACACATAGCGTCGGCTTACACCTACATAGGCGCATAAATAGCGTGAAATGTGTCGGTCCACACTTTGCGTTTCATGCAGCTACATTACTTGTAATATTTAAGCGGGTATCTGCATATTAAACAATATATGCCGCAATAACTGCTGTGTGGCAAGAACATACGCGCGGCGGCAAGTACAATAAAGGCGTGCTTTGCGCAAAAAAAGCATAAAATGTATATACTTGTGTAAGAATGTTAGTCCGTTTACCGTTAGGATGTGCATATATATGCATATCTCATGCGCCGCCATGCCGCAAGAAGCACAGAACAACGTGCTTCACTGTTTTACTACTTACTCATTTTTCCAATACACGCTACAACTTAATACTGTTGTAGAAAGTATTGTAAAGACACAAGTATTGCTTGTGTGTGTATGTG